TGAATCAATTAACTCATTCGAACCAATTGAATGTTCCAAAATAACATCCACTCCAGGGATACAAATTCTAAATGCGTAGAAGAATGCTGTTTGAATATAGACACTTGTCATATTGTATTGGTTATAATAAGAGAGCCCACTGCAAATTTCGACCCTCATCTGATAACGAAATGAAATATTCTCTAAAGGCATGTAACTACATTGTACTTTACCAAATTGCACCTATGCCAGTCCCTGAGCATAGTGGTTAAAAAAAAATCATATAAGACATGACAGCGACAATTGTGTTTGCCCTGAAAATTACAATCCTAATTCATTATGAACCTAGCTATTAAACTTGAATTATTAATATTTTTACCTACCTTTTAAACCATGTTTATGTGTGAAAGGAAGAAGGATGGCATTATATAAACCATTTTCAGAGATAATCAATACAAATTATAAACTCTTGTTAGACAATTATTTTAAACCATAATCATAGTAGTTTTTTGACGTTTCTATGCAACCTGTAAAAATGAATCACAACAATAGGCATACAAATAAATTTTTAAATCACCAAAAATTGATTCATATTTTTAATGATTTTTACCTACTTATCATGGATCTAAGGTAAACACATCCAAAAAATGGGTACACAAGAATTCCTAACATAAAGAATACCTGAGAATTCCTGGGAATTCCCTGAGACTTCCTGAGAATTCCCAGAGACTTCCTGGGAATACCCAGAGACTTCCCGGGAATACCCAGAGACTTCCCGGGAATACCCAGAGACTTCCCGGGAATACCTAGAAAATCCCTGGAATACTGAGAGAATAACTGAGTATATCCAGATAATGCCCGAACAATATATGAGAATAACCAAGTATTTCTAAAGATTTATCTAGAGTTAGTAAATAAGGTCCTAAATTATTAGGAAAATAAATAATTGTTCCGGATTTATTAACTAATGATTAGCATTTTTTCCCTCACTTTAGATCATATTTTACTTTTGATAAAATATAAGAAATAAAAAGATAAGATAGGTATTAACTGTGGGGGAAAAATTTTAACTTTGGAAAAAAATCTGATGGGTCCAATACATGACTTTCCTATCTAGTTATTAGGTACAGGCTTAGGGAGAGTATTATTATTATTATTATTATTATTATTATTATTATTATTATTATTTCCGGTTATTTTGTACAACCTATTGTATCATCCCTGTAAATGTTTAGAGGATGAACTAAATACATTTTCCACATGCATCTTACTCGAAACATTTTTTATATTTGGTGTTTTCTCCGTTTTTAAACTGAAATTCGAAATTGCAGTTTATCTCAAATATCTCGACTACGGTCCATTTTAGGGAAATCATGTATATAACAAAAAATATAAAGAATAACATTTAAGAAAAATTATGTATGGGACAAAAATTATAGAAAATTATATTGCAAACAACTTTTATTCAAAAAAATTTCTTCTCCAATAGTAAATAACGGAGATATTCGTTAAATTAAAAAAACGACCCCCTGTAAAACACCCCCAGATGCTTCAACTATGTCCATAATTTAGACAACTCATCACAGAATGTAAGCTTAAGTTTAAAATTTGGTGTTTTTCTCTTTATTCATTTTTGAGATATAATTTAAAATTCGAAATTTTCACATTTCCTCAAATTTTTCGAATACGGGTCATTTTGATAAGATTTAGTATGCAACCAAAATTATCTCGAAAATTATAGAGAATAATATTGCAAACAACTTTTATTCAAAGAAGTTTCTTCTCCAAGTGTAAATTACAAATATATTCCATAAAGTAGGAAAATGGCCTTCTATAAAGTACCCCCCAGATGTTCTGACCATGCCCAAAATATATTCAGCTCACCGCAGGGTAGATTAAAATTAAAAATTTGGTGTTTTTCCTTTTGTCCGTTTTTTAGTTATGTTCAAAATTTCGAAATTTTCACTATTCCTCAATTTTCTCGAATACGGGCCATTTTAGGAAAATTATGTATGGGACAAAACTTATAGAGAATAATATTTCAAACAATTTTTATCCAAAGAAGTTTCTTTTCTAAGCGTAAATAATGGATATATTCCATAAAGTAGGAAAATGACTTCCCATAAAGTGCCCCCCTCCCAGATGTTCCGACTATGCCCAAACTACATTTAGCTCACCGCAGGGTAGATTAAAGTTAAGTTTATAATTTGGTGTTTTTCTCTTTATCCGTTTTTGAGTTCAAAATTTTCACTGTTTCTCAAATTTCTCGAATACAGGCCATTTTAGGATATTTATGTATGGGGCAAAAATTATAAAGAATAATATTTTAAACAACTTTTATTTGAAGAAGTTTCTTCTATAATCGTAAATAATGGATATATTCCATAAAGTAGAAAAACGACCCCACCAAATGCTCCGACTATGTTCAGATTTAAGCTTAAATTTATAATTTGGTTTTCTTCTCTTAATCGGTTTATGAGTTATCGAGTATACAGACGCACGCACGCACGCACGCACGCACGCACGCACGCACGCACGCACGCACGCACGCACCCACGCACGCACCCACGCACGCACGCACGCACGCACGCACGCACGCACACACACACACACACACACGCACACACACACACACACACACGCACACACCCACGCACGCACGCACCCGCACGCACGCACCCGCACGCACGCACCCGCACGCACGCACCCGCACGCACGCACCCGCACGCACGCACCCGCACGCACGCACACGCACGCACGCACCCGCACGCACGCACCCGCACGCACGCACCCGCACGCACGCACCCGCACGCACGCACCCGCACGCACGCACCCGCACGCACGCACACACACACACACGCACACCCACGCACACCCACGCACACCCACGCACACACACGCACACACACGCACCCACACGCACCCACACGCACCCACACGCACCCACACGCACACACACGCACCCACGCACACACGCGCACCCACGCACACCCACGCACCCACGCACACCCACGCACCCACGCACACCCACGCACACCCACGCACACCCACGCACACCCACGCACACCCACGCACACCCACGCACACCCACGCACCCACACACACACACACACACACACACACACACACACACACACACACACACACACACACACACACACACACACACACACACACACACACACACACACACACACACACACACACACACACACACACACACACACACACACACACACACACACACACACACACACACACACACACACACACACACACACACACACACACACACACACACACACACACACACACACACACACACACACACACACACACCACACACACACACACACACACACACACACACACACACACACACACACACACACACACACACACACACACACACACACACACACACACACACACACACACACACACACACACACACACACACACACACACACACACACACACACACACACACACACACACACACACACACACACACACACACACACACACACACACACACACACACACACACACACACACACACACACACACACACACACACACACACACACACACACACACACACACACACACACACACACACACACACACACACACACACACACACACACACACACACACACACACACACACACACACACACACACACACACACACACACACACACACACACACACACACACACACACACACACACACACACACACACACACACACACACACACACACACACACACACACACACACACACACACACACACACACACACACACACACACACACACACACACACACACACACACACACACACACACACACACACACACACACACACACACACACACACACACACACACACACACACACACACACACACACACACACACACACACACACACACACACACACACACACACACACACACACACACACACACACACACACACACACACACACACACACACACACACACACACACACACACACACACACACACACACACACACACACACACACACACACACACACACACACACACACACACACACACACACACACACACACACACACACACACACACACACACACACACACACACACACACACACACACACACACACACACACACACACACACACACACACACACACACACACACACACACACACACACACACACACACACACACACACACACACACACACACACACACACACACACACACACACACACACACACACACACACACACACACACACACACACACACACACACACACACACACACACACACACACACACACACACACACACACACACACACACACACACACACACACACACACACACACACACACACACACACACACACACACACACACACACACACACACACACACACACACACACACACACACACACACACACACACACACACACACACACACACACACACACACACACACACACACACACACACACACACACACACACACACACACACACACACACACACACACACACACAGACATCATCGCGAAAATAGTCAAATCGGATTCAGGACCCCAAAACGTAAAAATCCGTCGAAAACTGGAGGTCGAAAAAAATTATGATTACTATACTTTCCTTATCTGTATACAGATAGGAAAGTAAAAAATCATGTTAATAAATAATATATTTCATTTTTTAACATTTTGCTTGCTTAATATCGAGCTTAATATTTAACAAATTAATGCACATAATATAATCGTCAAAACTAAAAATAAAAACTTATTTGTGTTTTTTATAACATCCTCATAATTTAAATATTTTATAGCACCGTGTGTGGCCAAAAATTACTAAGTAATGTGTTTTATAAATTTTTATTGAGACATTTTTTTATTTATTAAAAAAAAAATACAATTTTATATATTTTTATTAAAAACGTGTTATTTATTTAAAATAAAACAAAGTAATAAAACATAAAAACAAATTATTTAAAACTCAAACTGTTGCACGCTTATATTCTTTATATATTTTCTTTATTTCTTCTTTTGTTTCTCTGGATATACTAAACGGTTTAAAACCTAATAAAGTTATTGGCCCGAATAGGATGAATTCCTTTTTAACTGTTTGTATATCATCCTTGTTAGGCCAATAATAGTGACCTAAGTCTTCTTTTAAAATTTTTATCCTATACAAGTCATCATTTCTAGTTTCTATTATTTTTCCGATGTACCACGAGTCATCGTAGTAGATGGCGTAATATTTATCAGTTTCTATTAAATTGACAGTGCTTTTCTTGCAATTTTTAGAAGCGGCAAATTCTGGGACCCCCCTAACTCTTATAATTCTGTCCGAACTTAATTTATTGGATTGCTCTTCTAGTAACCAACATAATGTTGTTTTTCTAATTGTTTTATATTTATTTCCAATTTTTATGTGCACTACATTTTTTTTTGTTTTAGTATCATTAATATTGAGGGAAGTAAAGTTTTTCAAAATATTTCCTCCTTCAGAAGTGGTCTCAGCCGACATCTCAGCTTGGACTTCAATAATTTCTTGTTCTCTGTCAGCTTCACTTTCTGAGGTAATATTTTGAAAAAGTTCTTGACCTTCAATTATGTTATCACTTTGTTTTAAGTTTTCATTTATATTTAAATCATCATCCGAGTCACTGTCAGAATGAACATTTTCTTTGCCTTCTTCATAACATTTTATGTACTCTATATTTTTCCAACTGTCTTTATATACCGGCATATTTAAATTTTGACAAGACATTTTAACAGCATTTAGAGCATCATTTACACATTTTTCAATAGCTGTTTCATTTAAAAATTCGTTTAAGTTTGGGTCTAAATTATGTTTATAATTGTTCTCTCTAGGGAATATAAATGTGTCAGATAATTTTGTTATACAGTCGTTAATGTATTCTATCTTATTGGTTCTCTTAATTATTTCTAACACACTGAAATTGACAACTGTTGAGAACTAAATAGCCATGGTAAAAACATTTCTTTTGAAGTATTTTCATCAATTTGTTTATTTTCTTTAAAAAAATTATTTAACTTTATAATTACATGGGCATTAAGTTCCACACATAAGTAGCTATTCAATGTTATAAAATTATTTGATAAACTCAGGTTTTCTTCAGAGATTATCCATCGCCTCCAAATTCGTAAAAAGAACACAACATACCACATACAATAAATTCTATTATAAATCGAAACATTTTTATCCAAAAACGCCACTTTGATCTTGTTCATTAAATTTAAGTATTCGACGGTTCCTAGTGCACCAGGTTGAATTTTTAACAAATTTTGCACCATTTCAGAACACATCTATTCTGCAGATTTATAATTCATTTTATCATTTAAATTAAGATCAGATGGTATTAGCAGATGTTTATCTTTGGTGAATCTTGTTATCAGATCAACTAAATCATTTTTTAAAACTTCGAAAGACCCTATTACCATTTTTTTATTTTTATTTTCTCTTTGTTTATTAAATTCTTCACTAGTGCCTTCATTATTTTGGTTAGGTTTAAGGTATGATTTTAGTAGTCTAGTCCTAAATTTTAGGCACAGTCGAAGCATCTGGGGGGGGGGACTTTATGGGGGTCGATTTTTTTACTTTAACGAATTTCAGTTATTTATGATTAAAGAAGAAATATTTTTGTCAAAGTTTTTTGCAATCGCATTTTTTATAACTTTTGTGCTCGCTTTAGTGCCATACATAATTTTTCTTAAATGGTCTGTATTGTAGAAATTTAACAAAAAGTACAATATTTGAATTTTTTAAAATGAACCGTATTCCAGATACTTTTGGAAAACTGCAAATTTCGAATTTCAGTTTAAAAAAGGAAAAAAAAAAACACCAAATATAAAAAAGTGTGTGGAAAATGTATGTATTTAGTTCATCCTCTAAACATTAGATTATACAAAATAACTGGAAAAAGCCTGTAATAACTAGATAGGAAAGGCATGTGTTGGACACATCAGATTTTTATAGAGAATTGCAAAAGAATACCTGAGAATTCCTGGGAATACCTAAGAATTCCTAAGAATACCTGAAAATTCCCGAGAATACCTGGGAATTCCCGGGAATTCCCAAACAGATGTACACAAGAATTCCCAATGTATTTACCCCTCGGTTATTGTGGTTAGAAGTAATAAATATGAAATTTTTATGTTTCTATAATTCTCAAGAAATCCCTGTAGTTATTTTATATATATGGTTTGATAGCTGAAGTGCATTTCTTGAGGTTAACACATTTTCAAATGGCAAGAGGTAATACATTATAAGCTTTAGATAGAATTTATGTTACAAAACACTGACCAATGTTCTTGTTGTTAAGTGGTATAACATGTAGCTGGTTCATTATGCCCCGTGTACTATATCCATGATTGAATGCTTGCTGACAATGACCCCTCTTATAGGCAAATGTTAAAATCGTTAGAAAATATACAGACCGAATATTAGATATTTTTGGAAAATACAATGCATTTGTGGAGGATCGTTTTTTTCGTCTAAAGATAATTTTCAATATCTAATTCTGTATCACTTTGAGATTTTGTAGAGTGTTTTCATGCAGACCACCCTACGCTAGTATTCCATACCGTAGTAGTGACTCCACGTGTGATTTGTATATTACAAGCAACAGTTTGATTGACAGTAACTCTCTTAGTATATAAAATTTGTAGATAAGCTTTCTGAGTTTTGTTTTTAAGTAGTTGATGTGAGTTTCCCACCTGAGAATTTTGTCAATCATAACTCCCTAAGTATTTGATCTGACTGACTTCAGTGATGTTTTTGTTTAGATTTGTGATGTTGATATTCTGGAACTCAGGTCTATTCGCAGAAAAAGCTATATGATGTGTTTTTTTGACATTTAATGATAGCTGGAAAACATTTAATCAATTACTTATTATGTTAAGTTCTTTCTGAGCATTTAATTTAGCTTGTAGCCAAATATCAGTATAGGATTACAGTGGCATACTCTAATATTCTATTATAAATAAATACAGCTTTGACATCTACAGAAACACAAGTTATTTTTGATTTTTATGTGGGATATTTAGGTTATTTTTTAACCTTATATATTTAAGTTATGTACCTCATGTCGATATGTAAAGGCTGGCGACATTTTTATATTTGCTAAAGAAATAAGTACTAGTTTTCTCTATTCCTGTTTCTCGAAAACCCGTAAATGTTGCTAAATTCACAATTACTTACCCTATTCACAAATTTAATGCTTTTCGTTTTCTTTTATCGCAAAAATGGAAGTGTGTTTTTTAAAGTTTTTCTCCAAAAACAACTATACCACATTTATTCGCTCCATGCGCGACAGCAGCGTCAATTCGTTTTTAACCGACTTCAAAAAAGGAGGAGCGGTTATCAATTCGTCGCGATATTTTTTTTTTTATGTATGTTCAGCGATAATTCTTTAACACGGTGTCCGATTTCAATAATTCTTTTTTTGTTAGAAAGGGGGTACTTTAGGGGTGGTCCCATATAAATTTTGTCAAAATATGATAATTGGGTTTGTGAGAAAATCCTCAAACTCTTCATTTTTTATGTATATTTAGCGATAATGCTTTACCACCTTGTCCGATTTATATGATTCTTTTTTGTTAGTAAGGGGATACCTCAGGGGTGGTCCCATATAAATTTGGTTAAGATGTGGTGACGGCATCTGCACGTTTTTGAAGTCGGTTTTTTAAATTTTTAATTTCTAATACTTGTGGTACTAATGGACTATTTCTGCGTATACTGACAAATACAATTTTTAATAGAATTCGTAATTAAAAAGTATATGTTAGCTTTAATAAAAGTATATGGATTTGTAAAACAAGTAAAAACATTAATTTAATATTACATATTTTTATCGCTTAAATTAAGAAAATTATGTACAATTAATAAAAATCAATAATAAAATATAGGCAGGCAACAGTATTTACTGGAAAATGTATGAGAAGTCTAATAAGTTGTCATTGAAGAATTAGCCCATTCTGTCAAAATAAAAAAATACCATTTAATTGTTCGAAAGAAAACAGAATGAATGATTAAAACTGGTTTCCCATCAGTAAGACACAAAATTGCATTCCAGCCACATATAATAATCAAAGGCAGAAATCTTGAAATCTAGTCCTTGCTGAATGAATATTTAGGAATAAACGGATATTAAAGAACATCATAAAATGATAATTTATTGTTTATTTAAAACCTTTCAAGTTTCTGATGTCTACTATTTCAAGCATTACTGTAATTATTACAAAAAGAAAGGTACTTTTTCTTCTTATTGTACACCTATCCATTTATTTCTTTAATTTAATTTCCACTGAAATTTTTTATATAAGTTTCACTGTTTTTTTTTTGCTAGTATTTGTACAATTTTCAACACAGCAACTCCTGTTGCTTATTGTATTGTTTGTACCTACTTTTTTGAAAAAATGTAAAATTTATACGAGTATTTGATACCATCTGAGAAAAATTGTGCACCACACTCGTAACTCCACTTCCTTAAATAATTCTACCAGAATTCCACGTATTTCCACTGGAATTCCACGTACTTCCACGCACTTCCACTGGAATTCCACGTACTTCCACTGGAATTCCACATACTTCCACTAAATTTAATTCCATGGAATTCCACTATCATGCACAGCAAAACTCCAAGTACCCGCTATTTAACACTTTAAAAAATAAAAGTAGGTATGTTTTACTTTTAAGGTTGTAAATTTTAGGGATTTTGTGTACATATCAAGTACATCTCAATATTACTATTTCATAAGAAGATTCTACGCATGTGCTGACTCATTAAACATGTATATTATAGTTTAGTGTTTGAATTTTTTTGATGTAAATATGTCCTGGTTACCAATAAATAATATAGTCTACACCTACTCAATATATGTTATTAGTGATAATTCGGAGATTTTAAATTTTTTGGGGCTTACTATGATATTAAATGTTGACAGAGTTTAATAATCTATATGGGGGTGCAGATTAAAAAAAATCGGCAAGTAATCAAATTATAAAAAAAAAACAAACACAAACTAACTATATTAAACAAAACAAAAAACAGTAAAAAAACTCTAAAAAGCAATGAAACAGAACTAAATATATAACACAAAATAAAGAAAAATTTTAATGAAAAGTCATTTTATATTTCTTTTAAATTTTTTGTATTTTTTTTCGATTTCTTGCTCATCAAATCTTGTAATTGTGAATGGATAAGAACCAATCAATTCGATTGGTCCATATATGATGTGCATCTTCGCGACGATATCGACATCTTCATTTTTTGGCCACTCGAAATAACCAAGATTTTCTGATAAAAATGTTATTTTAAATTTTCCGTCTTCACTTCTATCTTTCAATGATTTGTCCTATAAACCATTTGTGATCATAATAGGTCGCGTAATATTTTTCCGCTTTTATCTCCATGTCATCTTTGGAGATATCTTCGTTACTAATGACATTGGTTTCAAAGAGGGTTTCACTGCTTTCTGCTTAATTTGAATCTTCCTCTGATGAGGTTCCTGAAAGTTCAAAAGTAAAATTTCGTTCAGAAATATCCTGAACTTCATCAATCTTGGAGTGTTTTAAGGATTCAAAGTCATTTAAATACAATTTATTAATGAAAATTTGGTTTTCAGTTTCCCCTATTTTGAGACTGATAACTTCGGAGCTTATTGTAGACTCGTAATGAATAATGTTATAAAAAAAACTGACTTTTCAGATTTAATTTTTCCAGAATGCCACCTTTATGTAAAATATACCAGGAACATAAACAGTCGATTCCACAATTTTTCGTATTGATAGCTGTAGTTGGAGCATTTTCTAGGGAATACTGTTTATTTTTATTTGTTCCTGATAGATAAATGAACGACAACATTCTTCCAATCAGGTATCTGCTAAGTAAGCTGGTTGCTAAAGTCGAGGGTAAAGTTACATGAAACTCCCTAAAATTGTCATTATTTGAAAAATACACCAATCGCTAATAGATACATTGTCAGTTTTCTCAAATGTTTTTTGTATGTTACTTCTCAATGAAGCTGACTGGTCATATTGCTTTTTTGTCATAAATCTTCGCAGTCTGTCACTGCTAATTTTTTCCTTGTTCTCTTCAAGCAGTCAACATAGAGTGGATTTTTTAATAATCAATATTTTAGACCCCAGGGTCACTTCTACGAATGGACTGTTTTCAGATAAATTTTTGTTCTGATCATGTTTTTCTGAAAAATCCTTTACATTAAAATTTTCCCGTGTGTTGACGATTTCTGACAATTCTAAAATTCTATCTAAATTATCGGTTCTGTATTCA